CACCTAAACCTACCCCTTACAGGAAACTTTGTGCTATTTCAGATTTTCAATACACTCCATTCTGAGTGATTTATAAGCGTTTTGAAAAGTGGGGACATGGGGTAATGTGCTGAAAAGTCACCTTCTCCTTGTAATACCTATGTCATACCTTTGTCATTATACAAATTTATGTCCTCATTTGTCACAAAAACGCGCGCACACACACACACATCAATACACAAATACTAAAGTAAATCTGTTTCAGCTAGAATTAAGTGTCCCAACTCCTTTGTGTTTAAGTGATGATTTTCTAGCTCTTAGTATCCAAGTATCTTATTATTTTACCCTACTAAATGATTTGACATTTAAATAAAAATACCACATATGAACATACGCTTGCAATGGACCAATTTCTCCAGACTTTCAGATCTCTTTATGGACGTATGGGATTTTATTTGAGAGCTTCAGCTCCTTTTAATGACCTGTAGCTCTCGAGGCTTATCCATTCAAATCTCCTCCGGCGTAAAGATCCCTTGAGCGTGATGATTAAATTAAGATTCTTTAACAAGCACATCGGGTTGCAGCTAGATCTCAGAGAGAATGCTCCACGTGTTGCATTGGCAGACCACCTTACTGTAGGAATGTATTCTCTGACAGAAAACTGATCTGAACCACTTTTCATAATTTAAAGGAATAGTTTACCCAAAAATTAAAATTTGCTGAGAATATACCCAGCTAAGATGTTGATGAGTTTGTTTCTTCATCGGAACAGATTTAGAGAAATGTAGCATTCAATGGATCTGTGGAACTTCTGCAGTAAATGGGAGCTGTTCACTTCACAAGATGTTAACTGATGGACTGTAGTTGTGTGGATTACTTGTGGAATATTGTTATATTTTTATCAGCACATTCTGATGGCACCAATTCACTGCAGAGGATCCATTGGTGAGCAAGTGATGTAAAGTGTAAATTTCTCAGAATCTGTCCTGATGAAGAAACAAACTCATCTATATCTTTGATGACCTGAAGTTGAATACATTTCCAGCACATTTTCATTTTTGGGTGAACTGTACCTTTAATGGAAAAGTCCATCTGCCTGTGTCCATATGGTGCATTTAACGCATATATTGTGTGCTTTGCAATCCATCTGTGCTCTTGCTTTAGGACCCAGAAACCGACTAAATTTCTAGAAGACAAAGTTTGGGAGAAAGTGATTTCTTGGGGTTCGGGCTCCATCACAGTTTGGGAATTTTAAAACTAAGTGAGGTCGCAGATCTGCTGGAATTTGTTCTTATCCTTGCTCCCTTATTTCCCTTGAGGCTTAGAGTGAGCTGCTCTGTCTTCCACTGAGATAAATGTACGGAATTGCCAAGTCAATTCTGTCAGCCTGACACAGTGATAAGGCCTTGGCCGATGCGGTGAGCAATTGAGCTGTTTTGTCTGACAAGAGCTAATTGAGACCTCAAGATGGACAGATTATTGAAAAGCACAGAATTGGTCTGGCGAATCATTTTGTTTTATGTTCCTAGAGTATTCTGAGGCGTAGTGATTTATGCTCACATTCTTGTTTGAGCAGTTGTTGTTTTGGGAACAATGCATAATTCATTGAGAGACTTAAAACAGTAAATGGGTTTTAGAAGGAAATGTTGTTCTAAAAGCGCTGTGGGAAATCCTCATGTTGCTGTCCGTGGTCCTGAAATTGTATTACAGCATTGTTGAAATGAAGAGTAATATCTAATGTGACATCACTATTAGGTTGAATGTAAATATGATGTAAATGTAAAACATATTTGATTGTGAAACAGCACGTCAAGGCTGCAATAGCAAGGACTCGTCAACGGTGAGATTTTCCATTGAACATGGCAATGAATACAGATTTGGGTATTATTGTATTTCATTCTCCAGGTAATAATCACTCCCCTAGAGAGCTTTGAAAACCCCATGTTTCTCATTTCACATCAAAATTCAATAAATCTACTGTGGTCTATAGTCTTCAATGAAATGTTTTATCTCTTAAGGTAAATGAGGAGATTGGCAGGGAGCGCTAAGGAGTTTTATTTTAATTTGTCCCCTGCTATGAGGGACTTAATTTCCCAGCATAGGATCCATTGGTGAGCAAGTGATGTAAAGTGTAAATTTCTCAGAATCTGTCCTGATGTAGAAACAAACTCATCTATATCTTTGATGACCTGAAGTTGAATACATTTCCAGCACATTTTCATTTTTGGGTGAACTGTACCTTTAATGGAAAAGTCCATCTGCCTGTGTCCATATGGTGCATTTAACGCATATATTGTGTGCTTTGCAATCCATCTGTGCTCTTGCTTTAGGACCCAGAAACCGACTAAATTTCTAGAAGACAAAGTTTGGGAGAAAGTGATTTCTTGGGGTTCGGGCTCCATCACAGTTTGGGAATTTTAAAACTAAGTGAGGTCGCAGATCTGCTGGAATTTGTTCTTATCCTTGCTCCCTTATTTCCCTTGAGGCTTAGAGTGAGCTGCTCTGTCTTCCACTGAGATAAATGTACGGAATTGCCAAGTCAATTCTGTCAGCCTGACACAGTGATAAGGCCTTGGCCGATGCGGTGAGCAATTGAGCTGTTTTGTCTGACAAGAGCTAATTGAGACCTCAAGATGGACAGATTATTGAAAAGCACAGAATTGGTCTGGCGAATCATTTTGTTTTATGTTCCTAGAGTATTCTGAGGCGTAGTGATTTATGCTCACATTCTTGTTTGAGCAGTTGTTGTTTTGGGAACAATGCATAATTCATTGAGAGACTTAAAACAGTAAATGGGTTTTAGAAGGAAATGTTGTTCTAAAAGCGCTGTGGGAAATCCTCATGTTGCTGTCCGTGGTCCTGAAATTGTATTACAGCATTGTTGAAATGAAGAGTAATATCTAATGTGACATCACTATTAGGTTGAATGTAAATATGATGTAAATGTAAAACATATTTGATTGTGAAACAGCACGTCAAGGCTGCAATAGCAAGGACTCGTCAACGGTGAGATTTTCCATTGAACATGGCAATGAATACAGATTTGGGTATTATTGTATTTCATTCTCCAGGTAATAATCACTCCCCTAGAGAGCTTTGAAAACCCCATGTTTCTCATTTCACATCAAAATTCAATAAATCTACTGTGGTCTATAGTCTTCAATGAAATGTTTTATCTCTTAAGGTAAATGAGGAGATTGGCAGGGAGCGCTAAGGAGTTTTATTTTAATTTGTCCCCTGCTATGAGGGACTTAATTTCCCAGCATGCACTGGCATGCAAGATTGGATATCTCCTTATGAAGTGATGTTCCAGATGAACATAAAGCATCTGCAGTTTTCATTCCATCCTTTAATGGGGATTGAATGTATATTGTGATTTGGTATAAATGCTAACAAATACAGTAAAACAAACAATCAAATGAAGTTTTTTCACATTGAGGTTCTGGATCTCCTTCCCCTTTCGCTGTCTGGAGTATTGACTTGGTTAGATGGATAGACTGTGCAGTCAGTAGGATCCAGGCCACCTGCTAGGCAGATAGAGAGAGTGCTCACTAGAGCAGGACGTTCCCGTCTTTATCCTTAAGAGGCAAGAGCTCTTCCACTTGTGATTCATAGCTGTACCTTAGCATTTGATAAATGTGCTTTCAGTGTTTTGGAAATGTGATCAACTTTGTAATTATGCTCAAACGGGGAGTATTTTGTTGATTCGGAATTATCTGCAGGTGCATGGATGCGGAAGAATTTGTTTCACATAAAATTATTTTGAAACAACACAAAACTTTGTTAGTGTAGAATAACAAGAAGACAGCTATTTTTGCTAATTAATAATGTACATTAAAAAGTTGGCCATATGCCATGATAAAGTGTAGGTCCACAAAAAACCTTTATATGAAGTTGCTGGCTAATTGTGTGTTATAGCTGTAGTTAGAAAGAGTTAGCTGAAGCGTCAGTTTATTTGTGGGGTGGGACAGCCATAGCCAAGCTGATTTGGAGACAAAATTAAACAGATGGCAAAGTGTCCATGGCTTAAGTGTAATTAATGGAGCAAACGAAGCTCTCCTTCAAACGTCTGTGTGTGCGTGATGTGCTGTTGAGAAGATCTGAGTTCAAGAATGAAAGAAAAACTTTGTATCATAAAATCATATATTTTTTTATTACATTTTAAAGCATTTTTTATTCTTTTGCCTGTTTGATACTAGGGAAATGCAGATTCCCTTGAAGAGCCAATCAGAGCTTTGGGCCTTTTTGTGTAACTTCAAATATTAGAAGAGAATAAGCAATGTGAATTCTCATTTAATGGCTGATTGCACAAAATTAGCACAAAAGAACTTAACTTCAGTTCTGTAGAATTGAACATTACATATAATTTACATAACTTTGTGAACACAACACTCAGTTTAACATTTACTTTTTTCAACAAATGCATATCTGTGCAATTTTATCTAATACTAAAGGTAGGCCTACGTCTCAAAAGTGGATGCAATGTTACAGTATGATGTTAAACAATTAATAATTTTTTTTGCTAAGTACTGCAATAAAAATGGTAACCTGCAAATATGGTATTTATATCTGATTTAACCTATAAAAATAGTTTTATTTGTGTAAATGAATGTAAGTAAGTTAATTCAGTGATATTACATAATATTTTTGACTTGAATAAAACAGTTTATTTCGATGTTACCATTTTTTTAGTGTCTATTTGTGCATTTGTGCTTAAGGCCTTGTTACATGATCATAGAATTTGACATTTTGAGGGATTTTCATTTTGTAGACTTAAGATTCAGCATAACAAACATGCTTTGGTTATTTTCAAGTGATATCCTTCATTTCCTTGGCAACGAAAATGTTTTGAGCTGGCTGTTAGCTTTTGTCAATTAGTTTTAATTCATTCTGCAATAATTCTGAATAATATGATCTATTATATCATGAAGTTGTCTGGTTTATGTTAAGCTTTTCAACCTGCACTTCATATCCCCATTTGGCGCTTTTTTCAAATGTGTGAAAATGAACATGTTCCAGTGATGTCTTACTTTGCCTCTGCAGGATATCTGACCGTAACGATTGAGCCATTGCTACCAGTTGTTGTGGGAGATACAGTGACTCTAAAGTGCAACTTCAAGACAGATGGAAGATTGCGAGAGATCGTTTGGTACAGGGTAAGTTGTTATATTCAGCATTTGAGCTAATATTTCATCTTTATTTTATTGTTCATAATCTGTTCTTTTGTTCTCTGATTGGATCTATTATTGCAACAAAACATGTTAACGTTCAGCCTTTTAAACTGCATGACCTTGAGGCTGCTTAATTGCTTTTTGTTAAATGGCTGCATATCAGACCTAGTGCTAGTGCTACCCCTAGAAAACAAGTCTGTTTGCTTGGGGACAATCTGTTTGGCAGACCGGGGAGTGTTTAGGAATCATTTTTACAGTTGGGATTGTTGACGATATTGGCACAGAAATACTTCACCTTTAATATTCAGCTGGTCATGATGGCTGTGTCTTAATATGTCCCAGCTGGATGCTTCACGTTTTACTACGCACTATTAGTGTATTGCAAAGCAGAAAGCGTATGGATTAGTTAGGCATTTGCAAGAGACATTTCTGAATAAATTATACCATATATAGCTGCATAAATTGCGTATACAATATATATGAACAAGACTGCCTGAATGTAAAAACTGTACAATAAAGTAGAACCAATAAGGACAAATCTTATAGCTGTGGATTTAATGTATATCAATACATAGGCAAAAACTGCAATCTATTCATGTACAGACAGATAGTTGAGAGCATATCTGTTTAAGTGCAAAACACCGTCTTTGATTCAACCTTCTGTTCACAAATGCGACACATCTACTGTCTCCAGACTTGTCTTTGCAAATGCTGACCTTTCCAGACAGAACAAAAAGAGATTAATAGCACTTTACATATTAGCTATAGTCTCATACATCATACTGAACGGTTAGACAGTCCCACTGAATCAGTACAGGTTCCAGGAAGCTTATTTGTTGGTACAAGGTCTCTTCCCTGCGTGATTGGTTGTTTATTGCACAGGTGAAAGTTATAACTTTGGTGGTTTTGTTGACAGGAAAAAAAGGTTATTAATGATTGAGAATATATTTTTATGAATATATTCAAAATCTTATCTTACATCCTCACAGAGTTATGAGCCTGTGGAAATAGCAAAAAGCACAGGCCTCTTTTCTTTTTTTTTCTTTTTTTTTTTTTTTTGCAGCAGAACACGTAAGAGTGATAATGAACTAATGCAGAGCACGCACTTCTGATTGGCTTAGCAGCTGAGAAGAAATGTCTATTTGCACATTGACAACCGCAATTTAAGGGAAGCGCCTCTGCGAGCAGAGCTGTCAAAATTGCCTATTGGCGTCTGATCAAAACCGCAAGGTGGTAATATGAACCAACCCGCCGTCTTCTCTGACTGCTGATCATCACACGGCCTAATACATTATAAATCAATTATCTGCGCTTGGCTGCCAAAGTTTCTTTAATCTCAGGCTTTTATTTGACTAAACTGTCGACTTCTCAGTTTTCACTTGTGTTCAAAATGTAACCCTGGTTGATATCCATCTTTGGGATTTACAATATCTAATCAACAGCTCTGGTGAGTGACACAGAGGCTGTTTGAATAAAAGATCGCAGCTGTGGGTTGTTCATTATGGGGATGCTGTTATCTTGACGGGTCCTGTTTGAAGGTTTTGTAATGCACACCGTAGTCCGATTTCTCCTTTAAGATTCTCTGTCGAGCTGAGGGGCTTCCTCTGCTGCTCAGATAAAGGATATTGCTATGGAGAGGCTCTTTAAGCAGCGCTTCCAGAAAGCACTCATGCCAAATTGAGGCTTGTTGCCTGATTGGAGGATTCGTTTTCGTCTTAATAGCTGCCTCTGCTTCAGGTCCATGACAACAGCAAATCAAGTTTTGAGTGGAGTGTGCATTTCAATATCCACTGGCATTTTACATGCATAATCTGTGATGAATGAAAGCTAGTTCCAACTGCTCCAACAAAACCTAATAATTGTTGGAATATGATGTTTGTTGGGGAAATGCAGAAAAAAAAGGATTTATGTAACAGACTGTTTCAAATGTTGGTATCTGTTCCAGCAGTGTGGCCAGTAGGGGTGTCGAAATTAATTGTTTCTACGATGCATCGCGATGCAGACGAGGACGATTCCGTATCGGTTCAGTAATAGACCATAACCGATTATAACGTACTGACGCTTTTCTGACGTCATTTGTCGCATACGTGCTTTGTCGTGGTAGCATACAATGGCGGAGGGAGGCGAGACGCGAGTGCGAGTAATTAAAAATGTCCCAACTACTTTAAATGCCGACATCTGGGCACATTTCGGCTTTTACGAACAACCTGGTAAGCACAACCTGGAGAAGGCACACGCTGTGTGTAAATCATGTCACACACAAATCAAATATGCAGGGGGTAATGCTACTAACTTGAGAAACCACGTCAGGTTCAGTTCATATGTCTGACTGCTTGGACTTATTGACAAAATTGTATACATGAACTAAAATAAAAAAACTGAGGATGCAGTGCATCGTCAATGCATCGTGATATCGAATTGAACCGAATCAATGACATGATAATTGTAATCGAACCGAACCATGAGACCAGTGTAGGTTCACACCTCTAGTGGCCAGCCTTAAAATATAGGCTACGTATTATTACATGGCTTTCTTGAATACTTTATTCTGATTGGTTGATTGGTAAAACTAAAAAAATGGGAAAATCCTTTTTGTTAATTTACATGAACCTGAAATGTAAAATAAATTAATAAATACTAGTGCTGTCAAATGATTAATCACAATTAATCGCATCCAAAATAAAAGTTTTTGTTTACATAATATATGTGTGTGTGCTGTGTATATTTATCATATAGATTCACACACATATATATACAGTATATATATATATATATATATATATATATATATATATATATATATATATATATATATA